ACACACAATCCACTCTTTATATGCTCAACAATATTTAGAAGAACATCGTGGAAACATTGAGGGAAATTGTTTGGTTTTGTCTACTTAGTCCTTTATAAATAACTGCCAAATAAAAGATTATTTGCCAAATCAAAAGGGTGGAACCTCCAATTATACAAGTAAATACAAAAATAAAGCTTGACAGGAAAAACTGTTTCTTCCAAACAATATAACTAACAACTAACATTGTTTTTCTCATAACACATCCTTATAACAATTTCATAGTAATCTGTCTAGTACTTTTGCACAATCCTACAAACAATCAAATAAACAAACAAACATAGGTAAAAACATAACTTCCTAGCATTTAATTATATTTTAAAAAGTCACTGAGGGGTCCCAATTCCTTCTGGAGCTCTACAAGTCACATAGACTTAAATGAGGACAACAATTTAAGTTTTCATTTGTATTTTCTGATATTTTGTTTTGGATAAAATATATTACGTAGGCTAATTGTTTCTCATTTACAGGATATTCAAATGCACCTGGTTGGAAAGTGCTTTTATTTTGTGCTTCACTCACCGGAAGTGCTGTGTTCACATGAGGTGACTTGACTGGTACCAAGTTGAGTCCGGTCACTAAACTGCTGCATCGTGAAGACAGAGGAGGAGAGAGGCTCCGGACAATCTGCTGTGAGAGACATCTGCATCCCTTGTTTCTTCAAACAACAGAAGACGTGAGGGGAACTTCACTGACCCAGAGGAGAGTGGTGTCTGCGGATGACGGTGGGAGACAGGACCTGTTCCTCTGACTGATGGGTGGATGAGAGCAGATCTGAAGCTCTGTGGGAATGATGTGAAGAGAGTGAAGAGGAAGAATGATGTCTGGAGTCACACATCACCTCTGAGTTTATTCTTTTCCATTCAGGGTCAGTGCGTCCACAGCTTTTAAAGCGCGTCACTATAGTCTCATTTGATTTATCTGGAGCTGATCACTTTTTAATCCAAGTTTCACATCATCTGAAGTTTATTATGGAAAAAAGGGTGTCTCCTGACCTGTGATCAGTTTTAAAGTTTTCCAAAACAACAGGTTTTCTCGTGTAATTTGATCAAAGTGAGAGTTGAACATGGCCATCAACACGGACACAGACTTCCTGAAGTCCAGCCTGGGTGAAAGAGGAGAAGGAGGAGGAGGAGGAGGAGGAGGAGGCGCACAGCTGGCGGACTCTCTGGAGACGGAGAAGCTGCTGGCGGTGACCACAGAGCCCGGAGGCAACGGCCTGAAGATGTCCACCTCTTTCACGGTCAACGTGGGCGGAGACAAGGGGCTGGAGGCCGACCAGAACGGCCACGGCGTCGGGGTGAGGTCGGGCTCCGTGGGGCAGCTGACCGCCGCCGCCCCGCTCTCCCCGTCCAAGGCCAGCCTGAGCCGCTCCTCCACCGGGAACGCCACCGTGCAGGAGACCCCGAAGCCCAAGGATTACCTGTTCCTGGTCATCTTCTCCTGCTTCTGCCCCGTGTGGCCCGTCAGCATCGTGGCTCTGGTCTACTCCATCATGGTGAGCATGCCTTCAGTGTACACTGTCTCTGTAGGTCAGCAGAACTACCAGGAAAATGACCTGATTAGTCTGATTCTGGAGGAAAAGAGATATGAAGGATGAGTAAATATGTTTTGTCACTGAGCTATAAAGACCAGATGTAGACGAACAGCATCATCTCAGAGTCTCAGAGTGTAAAGCACATGTTAAATATCTAAATAGGAAATATCAGTAAATATGTCTTTATTTTGAAGGGTTTTTATTTAGATGTGTCTTTTCACACTTCATAAACTTTGTAAACATGTGTTATCTTACGAAGCATTAACAAAGACATTAATGTTTGATATTAACATGGTCTGGTTCAGAAATGTCAGGTTTGTAACTGGGATAGAGGAATAAGACAAGAAACATCTCAAAACACAATATCCTATGTCTATGTTATCTCATTTATTCATAT